TCCTGTGTTCCCAGTACTTTCACGGGAATACGGGCTATTGAGGAACGGGGGCTGCATCCTAAATGCTGCCTAGACTGGGCAGCAAGGACTTTCTCTGCCACAGGGCTCTTTCCGAGGGCTTTGCAGAGGGTCTATCCCAGAAACAGAATTTCAGGGGATAGGCTGGCTCTCACGTGTGGAGGTAGCTGCTTTGCAGGGAGGCCTCCTCTAAGCAAGGCTGTAACCTGCTGATAAGGGATCTTAGGAAAGGGACCAAGACAGTTTCCCTCATCACAGCTTCTCACTCTTTTCCTATTTCCCTGTCAGTTATCTCTTCTTTACGCAAGGTCCTGTTAGAGCCTGGTTGTCTCAAGCAGGTCCAGTTATAACGCAAGCCTGGGAAAGGAACTTGAAAGCAACCTTCTCCAGGTTTTCTCTTCACAGAGCCCAGCAACTGTATAATTCTGCATCTGAAAAGTCACACCCCAATTTCACAACTCTTATCTCTTTGCACTTCAGCTGCACAGCTCTGTTTATTGGCTTGACTGGACTCTGAGCTCTTCAGAGCACGGAGCGTCTTCCTGCCTTTTAGCACTAAGGGCTGTTAAGTAAAATAAAATCTCTGTAAGCCCTTCTAATTATGCCTTACAGTATCTGTTCCTTGGCTATGGCAGCGAGACAGAGGAGTACCAGTGCTGGTGGCTGTGCAGGGGCAGAGGGGTTTGCTTTCCTCATGCTTTCATCTAAGCTCACACACAGCGTCTACAGCAGAGCTAAGAAGTTGCATTTCTGAGCTCTCCTTATTTCTTTTCCCACAAGATAACCCCTCTCTGACCTAGGCTCGCTGCTGTATTCGTGCTAGGTCAAGGGCTCCTGCCCCGCGTGCCCGGGAAGGGGTTGGGGCCAAGGGGAGAGGGGCCTTACCGAGCTCGGCGTCAAGCCCATATTTGCTTCAATGTACGTCTCTGTCTTTGGCTCCACCGCGAGTTCCGCTTCCAAGATCTTTTCCACGGGCATGTCCTCGTTGGCGCTACTTGTTGACTCCACCTCGTTCTCGTTGCGGTCCTTCCCTCGCTGCCTCTCCTCCTGGACGGCTGGAAGTGGACAGAGCAGGGACAGTGTCACCCTAGGGCTCCTGGCCACGGTGTCACGCGCTGAGCTGGGACCCCGAAGCTCCGCAGAGCTACGGGTGTTACTTAGCCACGAAAACCTAAAGCATCCTCAGTCCTTGTGACCTGTAGGAGCACACGCACGTCCGACGCCTTGTTCACCCACCTGACCTGGCCACCAGTGTGGTCAGTGGGTCTCAGGCTTGGACAGTCCAAGGGGGGGTGAGGTTTGGGGAAGCCACTGGGCAGCCCTGGCCTGGGAGAGCTGCTCCGTGTGCGCTCCCCTGGGAGCACGGCAAGGGAGGCTCCCGCTCAGACCCGGCTTCTGCTGGGAAACTCCCCCTTCTGCAGAGGGAGAAGTCCTGGAAGCAAAAAGGTTGAAGACACATGATGAAAAGCAAAGGAAGCAGCATGACGAGTCACCGCGGGAGAGGGAAATAGATGGGTACTGCTGCAGGGGAAGAAAACAAGGAGCTGAAGTGATAGCATAAGGGAATCCTAAGGAAAAGAGAAATTGGTCGGTTTAAAGCATAAAGTCCAGAGTTCAACCATCTTCTGAGCCTATCAGTGCTGAATTTCCGTGGAGGTCACGTCATGAATCTAGCTCCCTGGTCCAGCAGTGATGCTAATGGCTGCCGCGAGGCTCCGCGGCGGGACGGCGCTACCGTGGGACAGGAGCCGGGAGCAGGGATCTGCCGGCAGGCGCTCGATGCAAACCACCGCCCTGCCTTTGTCTCTGGGCAATTTCTGAACTGACAGGAGAGACCTGTCCCAAATCCTGTGCGGGAGGAGTAATCTAGCCAGAAGCACGTCACATGCTGACGAGTTAACGTCTGAACAGTACATAGATTAAAAACGTGTATTAGATGCTAATAGCGTTATTATTAATGGTCTCACTTTGAAACCAGCACAGAGACTTCCCCTAAACCTGGAAAGCAGCTTTATGCAGACAGTTACACCGGTAACTATCTCTTTCTCAAGCATGATGTTACATACCCTAAATCCCACACTTTTCCACACACCCCATTGCTTCCCACAGTACGTTTTAGCTCGGTCTAGCTGAGAACAGCCCAAGCAACAAGAGTTTCCATCACTGGTGGTGAGAGAGAACTCCCTGAACTTACCCAGCTCTTTGCTGAGGACTGAATGAGGCATTCAGTAACGTAAAAGGCCTGCTATTTACTGACAATTAGCCCAACACTTCACCTCTCTGCTGAATTTGAAGCTGGTTATGTGATGTTAAGAGAAAGCAGCAGGGGCACAGGTGTTGTTCTAGGGAAATCAGAGCTGTTACACACTAAGGCTTTTTAGGCAATTAGTGGGACCAGCTCTATGCCAAGTGCAAAAATAAAACCTAGAATATACAGCTTTTTTCTTAAAAAGCCCCATGAAATTAAGACACATACTGAAAGAGTCCTATACGGACACCGACCCCATTAACCCAGCTCCACCCCAGCACGTGAAGGCCCGGGGCTGATTTCCACTGCTCGCCCTCCCCTTCTGCAGCGGCCGCTGGTGCGGCGTGGATGTTTGCTGCACGTCAGCAGTGTTCAGACTCCTTCCATGTGAAAGCTGTTACGCAAAAAGCAAGAGGTTATTTTTTGCAAACTGCTCTTAAGTTTATGGGCTGCAGAGGCTCCCGAGGCTCATGCAACATTTTCTGCCTGGTCTACCAAAGCCAGGTAGGCTGCTCAGATTTGTGTCGTGGCTTTTGTCCATCTGGCTCTTGTCTGGCACGGATTCTTCTCTTCACTTTTAGGCCAACATAAAATCCTGCTTAAATTTCTCCCCACACCCCTACTCCTGTTTTCTCAATCATCAAACGACTAGAAATTTTTACTTAATGCCAACCCTTCCTCAACAGCACAGATGCACCAAAACTCCTTTGGGCACATTAGAAGAGATAAAACACCTACTAAATAACAGAAAAGCCTAAGAGAAAGGTAAACCCTCAACAAAGGGGATTTTATAAAATGACTTAAATGCCAAAGACCTGATGCACAGTCTCAGCAGATCTCAAGGACAAAGGTGTAAAACGTGGTTCCTCACCCTGAGATCTACCACCTCCACTGTCGGGGCCACTCCAAGGGATGTTAGTCCGAAAAACACATCCTCTTGTTCAGCTGCCAGTGACTCAGCTGGATGCTGAGATTTGTGTTTTGAGATCTGGGGAGACAGTGGCTACTTAAAGTCTTAAATCTGCAAATTTCAACCTCATCAAAACCAACAGTCGCGTTCTTGGAGGAGAAGAATCAGACACACCTGGAGGGTTATGGGAGAGTAAATCTTACGGGTCATCATGACAGCTTGCTAGTGATTAGGCTGAATCTAGCTGATAAAAACCAAAGATGGAGAGACAGACGGAAAGAGATTATACCTATAAGGAGGTCTTTCTATCGATCTGTGCTTTGAGCTGCTACATCAGAAAGCTGGTGCTGCTGCTCGCTGCGGAGCTGGTGAGAAGGAAGCTGACTCATTCCAGCCTTAGCCCCACGCAAACCCCTTGACACTCGCCCCTGCCCAGCTGGCTGCCAGCAGCAATGACACACCAGCCAGAGCAGATGGCGTATTCGACGTTCGTATGTCAGCTCCAAAGATAAACCAAGCCATTGACAGGGACAGCTTTACCTGCTTTGCTACCCCCCCATGTTTCCAAGACCAGACAGCCCTCTCCAAAGCCAGGACAAGCCTGGCATCACCCTGCGATCCCCTCCCCTGCAGTCTGGATGACCTTCATCCATCCCCTATCCGTGGCTCTCTGGGCTGCTGGAAAGCAGCGCCTGTTTCCCAACACCGAGCTCAGAGACGCCGTTATCCTCCCTCCACACTCAGAAGCACCTTCATGCAGGATGAGGTGGCTGCACTACGTGAAGTCCAGTTGCTACTTGCTCGCAGGACTCGCTTTACCAGGCGTTTTTGAACCCGACCTGTTCCTCACTTAGAAATGAGACGGGACACCTGCCCAGCCCTAGCTGTTGGATGTGGCTTTCAGGGATGCCTGCAAGGCAGCGACTCCTCTAGATGTTGACTCAGTTGGAGATGCTATTTTCTCTCTGGGCAGGCAGCTTGAGGAATGAAGTGGGAACAGCTTCATTCTTCATGTGAGCAACACGTTCGCTCCTGCAACAGCTCTGTGCCTGGCCTTGGGGTACAGCTGTCAGTGAGCACATGAACTCCCCTCCAATGGTCATCTTACTGTCACCTCCTTCTTCCAGGTGTGTCCCTTGTCAGGAGCCAGAGGTTGAATTCATTTCAAATCTAGTGTCTCTGCTTTCCTAGTTTCAGATTCACCCTGAAGCATCATAAAGCTCCAGGGGTGGCAAGCCCAATGCATTGTCCTGAAAGGTGCAGGGATTTGCAGCTGGCATTCAAGACTCCTGTCATCTGTGGGTTCCAAGACATGGACATCCCTGCAGATGTGGCCATCCTTGCAGCCTGTGCTTCAGAATCTGAGCAGAACCAAGAGGACATCCAAAGTGCAAGGAGCAGACAAAAGTGTCATACAGCTTCTGAGCAGAGTCCTCCGTGTCTCTGATCTCCTCTGGCATAAGGCCATTGGTAGATGTCTGTGATTTACTGCAATCAGTATTTCCCCAGACCTGCTGAGGACCTAAGTCAGTGCTCCTCCTTGGTAGACATGCTGAAGGTCACATTCCCATTTCAGAAAAGAATGGGGACACTGTTTCTTGAGATGCAGGAAAAAACACCAGGTGGGGTAAGAGGAAGGAAAGAAGGAGCAAGGATTCAAGCAAATCACCTTTTTTTTTTTTTAATATCATGCAATATGGGATGTTTGTGAGAAGGAAAATCTTCAGCAGTGAGGAGACCCCTCACCATAAAGACCTAGGACCTTGTCTCTGGAGTCCACTCCCCACTCCCGCTGGGGATTTGTCAAATAAACCACAGTGGAGGTGACAAAAATACATTTTTCAAATGGATTTGGTTTGGGAGCTGGGTTTCTTTGTGGCTCTGGTTTTTAATTATCTTTTAAAAAAAGAGAAATACAAACGTCGTAGCTGCATGGCAGCTTGTCTGGTAATATTGAAATGGGAATACCTTGTTCTTCTCGGCTTCCCAGAAGTCTTGTGGGCCGGGATGGATGGTGCTCCATCCCTGTAACACAGTAAAATTTAGAAACAATGATCATTATATCATTTGATTCTTGTTGGTTCTGCTGGATTTTTCTGTTCAAGTGAGTTTGTAAACTCACAGGCTAAAGGGGTTCTGCGACTGGCTCCTCCAACCCAAATTCTCCCTTGTGGCACAATCAATGTATATTTAAGAAAAAAATAAATATTCTCAACTCTGGACAGGGCATAAGATGCTTCTCCCTCCTGTCTCACATGTGATGCTTCACAGGATTAGCAAGGACAGGACACAGCATGCCAGTCCAGGGGAGCGGGGTCTGCTGCTGGCTCCCTTCTCTTGCTCATCACCGATGCCCCCCTCCACACCGTGCCCTTCTGCTTAGCTGGGTGGGTAAGGAGACATCCAGCCTCTGTTCAAGAGGACCTTGGGAAGAGGATTAAACTACAGGGTGCCTGTGATAATAAGGCACTTGACAGTGTGACCTACAAGGACCTCTCCAAACCTCAGTTGGGTTGTCTTGCTCTTACTGCAGTAAGATGGTGATAATGAGGTGAAGGGCTGGAGAACACATCCCCGCTGCTGCGGGAAGAGCTGCTGCTCACCAGGAGGGAAGGGTTGGCAAGGGCTCTGCAAGACCAGCGTGACCCTCCTGCCTCTCATCGCACTCAATTAGTGGTGTGGATAAATAGTGTCTGGACAAACTACGGGGCTTGTCTGGGATGGATGCAGGGAAGCCACTGAGAGGAGCCCATGTCCTTGTCCTTCCACCTCACCGCTCAGGCTGCAGGCATTAGACGAGATCCACTCTAGGACCATGCTGTTCACAACGATGCTGATTTTTCTGGTCATGAGGGTGGCACAGCATTTGATCAACGGTGCGGGTCCATTTATCTTAA